CCCCCCCCCCCCCCCCCCCTGTCTATAAAAAAGAAAGCACTGCTCAAGCCGATCGGGTCCGGTCAATCGGGGTGTGTTTTCTCCTCGTGATCTGCCACAGACAACTGGTGGCCTACTATATTATAATAAGGTAGATATTAGGTTAGGGTTATATAGGGATAATGGAAAAGAAAACGGAAAAGAACCTGGAAACTACTATATCATATAGCGATAATGGAAAAGAACATGGAAACTAGTGAAACTCTGACTCCTTGAATTTCAGACTCATTGAGGAGGACCTGCTGTGTGGAGCCAAGGCTTGAAAAAGCCTGAATCGCCAGAAACTACCACATGGGCCTAAATAATCACCAAGATCATTCTGAGGTTCATTTGAGGTACCATAGACCATAATTAAAGGAATATGGAACCATAATGTGGGTAATTCTTAAGGCCCGTATATGAGGCAGGCAATTCAAGTATCTAGGAGGGGTTCGAAGTAAGCAGAGATTCTCCTACCTGAGCGGTTGTCTTAACTCCTATCCCCCTTAATAACCCCCTAAAATACTCCCCTATATAATCCCCTATACATCCCCATATCCTCCCTTTAAGGAGTTTAGACTATAGCTCACCTGGGCCGGAATGGTGGCGATGTTGCCTGGGTGGGCGACTCAAGAAGTTGCCATGGAGCTTTGGGTTTAGGGTTTAGACTTTAGGGTTAGACAATACCCTGAACACCTAAACATCTGAAGGGACACTTGCGGCCCTGTAGCAAGACACCTCTCAAGACCTAAAGTGAAGAAAGCTATGTGGGTAATCCCTTCCCTCTGTAGACCTTTGCACCCCCAACAATAGATCTTAGCCCTATCGTTCAACGGTACTATACTGCGGGTAGTAGAGAGTTTTGTCGGCAAGGGGAAGGAGATAAATCACGCCATGGCCATAGCACAATCCTAATGTTGAGACTCGCAAAGTCTGATGCCATCCGAGGCGTGTTTTTCTTGTTGTGTTTTTCTGACGTCCTGCTTGCTGCACATAGAAAAACTACCTACACGTCGGAGGCCGGAAGGCCTCACCAGACTGGTCCATATGACCAAAGCAGCATGGCTGCAACTCCATGTAGCGATCCAAAGCTTGACAGAGGGTCTTAAGTTCCAGTGTCACCACTACGTAAGAGACCACTACTGTGTTACACCACGCTTGTGTGATAAATGTCACAGCTGTACGGGGCACGGCATGGAGGTGAGCTTTGAGCCCCTAGTTGTGCCGTGTCCACCCATCAGCTTTCCGATGAGGTTGCTGCGCAAGTTGTGTGATATTATCTTGCTATATCGTTATCACTGCTGTGAATCTCAGCTGAAACGGGATAAGAGCCTTATCATGATCTAGCATGAAACTTGGCTGCGCAGCCGGGAACGTCTGTACATGCATCAGATGGACTTAAAGTGAGGCGGATAACATCACGCGCGTCTCCTGGGCTCAGCCAGACCTGCTTGGCAAACACGAGAGCCAGGCTTTGCTGAGAGACGCTGGCGACGATGCCCCCGCCTGCACCATGTCTTGCACATATCAGATATTCAGGTACTCAGCAAGTAGGAGTAGCAGGTTGCAGTCTCGCGCTTCACCGCACACTGTGTCCTACGCGCTCTGCACTACAAGTGCTCCGGAGCTTCAGCATATGAGGCCACCTTCAAAATTACTTGCTTGGCCTCTTTATGGGTGTTTGAAGTAGGGCGTCCTCTATCGATCTGCAGATTTTGGGCTCTTCCTTCGCCTAGATCGATGAATTACGCCGCCTGTTGTTTTTGAATGTCCCCTATCGATCTTTGGGATTCTTGCCCAACAACTACTGCCTAGACCAAGTTATTTTGACGGCGACTCATATGGCTGCTAGCCGCGGAATGTCCGCTATGGCTGACGCAGCTTTTCTGAAGGCTGTGGAGCACCACGTTGCGCTTGCCGTCTGAACTACGGCCAGACATCAACTGAACAGGTTGACTCCCTCCACCTTGCACGCACGCGCCCCCACACTCAGGTTGCCAAGAGGTCCATCATTTTCAAGATTCACGCAGCCCTCCGTGACAAGGTGGGTTAGAGGTGCAGCCTGGATATAAACACAAGCTGTCGGATTCTCTGGCACTTGCACAGGCCAAGCTGATCACGGGCTTTTACGCACCTACCCAAACATTCATGGATGTAATCTTAGGGCTTGGAGGTCCAAAGGCTTGAGAACTGTTAACACACGTGCCATGCCAGCGCAGGCGCCCAAGTTCCCAGATCATGTAACAAGTATTGCCCCGTTGACCGCGTCATGGGAATGCTTTCAATGTGTTCAAGAAAGAGCAATCGTGCTGCAGCCCTTGAGGACAATTCATAGAGCCAAAAAAACATTGGTTGTTGCCCTGATGGCAGGTACACCTGCTCTGGAAGAAACCAGAGATGAAAAGGTTGGACGTTGTCCAAGCATCGCTGGCGTTCACAACAAAAAACAAACTGAATTTCTGAGTTTTCAGTTCTAGCAAGAAACCCTCTCTGATTTTGAGAAGCTTTTCTTTCATAGTACACGCTGCTCGCGTGTGCGATGTTGGACTTCCAATATTTGCACTGGCCAGCTGTACACTTGAGGCCAGAAACAAAAAGTCGTGCGTCCCAGTTTCTTGCAATTGCCTGCCTTCAAACAGAACGGTGTCCTTGGACTCATGAGAGCCCTGTGCGGACACTGTAGGTGGGAATCCCGGTAGATGCCTGCTCGCTTAAAGCCTCATCTGCAGACCCTCGGAGACGTTCCAGGGAGGAACAACCGGAAATCCGGAATCTCAAGCCCCTCGAAAGTGTTCAAAGGAAAAGCTTGCTTCCTTCGGTGCTTCCGTGTCTGTTGCTCTAGAGGCGTAACGTCAACATGGGAGACGCTCCCATGTAATGTCCGTTCATCAGCTGTTGACCTGAGACGGAAAAGGGCCGCGGGTCTAGGGTTCATGGCTCATGTAAGATGCCTGTGCAACTTTAAGGCTGCACATGTTACCAGCGCGCTCAATGCCCTGCATAATCGAATTCTCACACCTGGAAAGCTGGTTTGGGGGGCTCCCTCTAAGTCCGGCCCAATTGTTGGAGGGCAGAAAAGACCAAAGAGATGACACACCAGCAAACAGCCTAGGGTTTAGGGTTTAGGGGTTTAGGGCATGAATAACAAGATAATTTCAGAATCGTATGGGAAGTCACATGAAAGCGTCTCATGTAGTGGCGTCAATCTCACTCCTCGGAAAAGGGCTCTTGGGCAGTCATCTTCCAAAGTATTCAGGCACATCCATTGGGTCTGGAAGCTCAGGTTTACTTTGTGTCTTAACAGCAGCAATACTGCAGAGGTTCTCTACAAGGGACCTTAGGTTTCAGGCTCTAGCTGCTTAATGTTTGCAGAAAAACTTGTCAGGCATCCGCACGCCGCTTCTCTAGGGATACCCACGAGACGTGCGACCTCGACAAGCCCTATTCCCGAAGCCGTTCATATCTCGACGAAACCACGACATAGCCCAACAGCCTCAAGTGAGTGAGGACCACATATGGCATAGTCTGAACTCCTATAACACCATCCTATATAATCTCCTGTATAACCCCCTTGAAGGAGTTTAGACTACAGCTCAAGTGAGGACCACATGGGACTGCGTAAGGAATCACCAAGATACCATGCGAAACGGCTCCGTCAACTGCATCTGTGCGCTTCACCTGCAAGCCGGGGCTGAGCCGCTTCACTCTACAGTTTAGGGTTTTTGTTTCAGGTTTCGGGGGTGTAGGGGTATAGGGGTTAGGGCTCTCTATGAGTCATCTGCTAAACCTCTGCTTCCTTAACCCCCAAATTCTCCAAACTCTGCACCCTAAATATCTACACCCTGAACAGCTATACACCATGACGCCCTAAGACCAAAAGCCTCACCCAGCCGCTCTTATTGCAGTAAATAATTATAGGGTTCCCGCTAAATTGTTTAATATCTTTTTTGGCATGCGCCACCATACAACATGAATAAAGAGGAAGTTGCACGTGATGCCGGGGAAGTAGCAGTCGTGTCTATCAGGCTTCGGGAATGCAGGATTTTCAAAGCGACTGCTTAGGAACACCTGGAGCGTCTGAAACGCACTTCTACGCTGTGGTCGCACGGTTTCGTAAGCTCTCTCAGCATCAAAACCCTTTTCCCGATTTCCGTCCTGCTCCATGGGCTTAACTACTATCACACTGTAAATACATGCCAGGAAATATGCTTAGGGTCCCCACGCTACCGGTCAGGATCCCAACTCTTCTTCTATCACAAACTCTCACTCTCTCTCCCCCTCCGTGCACGTACGATTTGTCAACTGGTTGACCCTACACCCTCGCTCTCCCCACCTTCTTGGGAACCTTGATGGTTTTGGTGGGCAGTGGGAAAGCGACGCGGTTGTTCTTGTGGAACAACACAGGCTTGCACTCGTCGGGTACGCTTGAGTGCATCACGCTGTTGTTCCGGTAATAGTCCTCGGTCAGGTTAGGAAGGCTATTACATCTAGGATCAGCCCCCACACAATAACGGTCCTCGATTTTTCTTATAATGAGCCCTGGCTCCATGCCAAGCATTGCCTTGCCAGGGGCAGAAGAGTTTACCTCTCAATTCTCTACACACCTGGTGTCTCTTGTTCTGACCTCAAGGACTTCCGTTTGTCCATGATGCTTCCCATTGCCACGAGCACCCATACCTTGATTGCTACTACTCCCAAGCATTGCAATCTTTGCTACAGTTGCTTTTGTACGGGCTACGCCCTGAAGCTTTGAACCCCAATCCTGACACCAAGCACTTTACTGCTTTGTAAGCCCCAAAGTAAACCCTACATGGCCCTTATATGTGATGACCCAGAATCGATGGCTTCGGCCAATCCCTGGTGCCGTGCGCACCAGCATACCTCCGCAACCTGCACGCTGGGAAATCCCCATTGCTTGAAGCCTGCGAGCAGGGTTGCATCCTTCTACCACTGCTACTAGTACTGTAGTACTCCTGCTCTTGCTCCTCGTGCTGCTAGTGCCGGTGCCGGTGCTGCTGACGATGAAAGACAGAGGAGCGTATGCAAAATCATGGCACCCATGTTGACACATGAGTCTTGGTATCGAGATGTAAGGACAAACTCGCAATTATGCGCGCAATGCTGGTGATATCATGCCTACTCACCCCTAAGATCGCTGGTTGCCGGTGAAGAGGCCTGTCTTCTGCTGTAGATCGTAGGCTGTAGGGCGTTAAGAAGGTAGTAAAGGGATGCGAAGGCTACACTCTGATGCACCCTGCAGGTTCTGGTAGGCAGTTTGTTCCCTGGGAAGCCAGTGAAAAGGAAGCGAGCCTGTGAAGTGCTTCCAAAAGCGAGCCACCGTGTTGGTGTCAATGAAGTTGATGAAGGCGTAGCACAAGGAGACCTCAACTGGTCTGAAAAACAAAGATAATAATAGTAGTGATAATCGTAATAATGATAGTAAGAATCATACCAGCCACAATAATCATAGCAGCAATGGTAATTATAATAGGAACCTTCAGGGCATACGAGTCCTCTTTCAGAACTGTCAGAGAGTATTCGAAAACTTCCACCTCATAAAATAGCTTGCATCGGCCTTAGGTGCACTTGTTCTTGAAGATGTGTATCACATATTATTTAGGAGGACCCCCCACCCTGTAGTAGTGGTATAATAGGAATATGAGAGGACCCTCATATAATCCCCATGTCCCTTGTAACCACTATTTCAACTCTAAACCCCCAAAAGTAGCTTCCATTTTCTCTCCCATTATCTCTATATGGTCCCCATATTACTGGGTGGCAGGACCCCCATCACCCTAAACCCTAAACCCTCAACCGCAGTCCCGGGAAGCAGTCCCCCGGCCTTCTCCTTGAAGCACAGGGGCACGTAGATAAAGTCAAACGTACCAGCAAAGCCTGCTGTTACTGGGCTGCTCTTAAGGAACTTCATTTAAGTTACTATATTGTCCACCTATGATGGAGAATCGGAAACTGTGGGACTATATAAAATAGGGACTTAAGGGTCTAAATTTAAGTTTATATTATATTGGGGAAGCCATATTAACTACTATACATACCCATTATGGTAACTTAGTTTAGTTCCTTAACAGCAACCCCGTTTAGGGCTGCGTTTTATGGTTGTGGGAATTCATTTCCATTTGCTACACTCTCCCAGACTAACATGGAAGCCCAAAAAGGACCCTAGCAGACGGTTGTTCCCTTCCAGAGCGTGGACATGGCTCCGTGTGAATCTAGGGAGGGCTCGCATTGCGCTGAGGCTTCCCTAAACCCTAGACTCTAAATGTTTGGGGATCTTTCACCTCTGAACCCCAAACTTTAGCTTTGGGAGAAAAGTGGTCAATCTCCACACTCTCCCTACATAATCCCTACAAGATACATATATATATATACAAAGGATGTGAGAGTTCAGGCTATCAGGCTTAAAGTGGGGTTGTTTAGGTATAGAAGGCTTAAAGCACAATCCCTACAAGTATTCCCCAAAAAACACTCATGCTCCCAGCAGAGGGCTAAAATTGCTGAATGTACTCCTATTTGAGGGGCTACAACAATGACCCCAAACCCTAAACCCTAAACTGAGGGGTCCCCTTTTGGGTTGGAAGACATTCACGGGAGCCATAGGCTCGTGGTCCCTTGGTCAGTAGAGAGCCTTAACGTTTACTTACCTTTGGTTAGCTGGGAGTGAAGGAATGGAAAAGCAAATGAAAGTTACCGGAAGGGGTTATACAGTGGTTATATAGGGATTGTAGGGTTTATACTGGGTTTATATAGGAATAATGGAAAAGAATATGGAGACTACGATAAGGGGTTATATAGGGCTACTACAAGGATCCATTCCTCCATTTCTGGATAACCAAAGGTAAGTCTAGTGTCTAGGGCCTTGCGCACAGCTTTGATGGTGAATTGGGAATCATCCAGTCCAACTTCTGAAACTTGGTGCTTTCCCAAAAATTTGGAATCTTTTTTTGGGGCCCCATATGCCCCCACAATAAGGAATATAGCATACTGGGGTCTGCATTGGGGTCCCCTGATTTATGGAAACTACCACTTGGAGAAGCCCACACAATCCCCAATTTACCCTGCATTGCAGCCTGACCTGTATTGCGGTGAATCAGGCCTATAGCCCTCTAGCAAACACATTGTCTACGTCCTACATGAAAAAATGCCCCTTCAAGAAAACCTCCCAAAAAGGTCACCTTCTTTGCACAAGACGTAGATCAGGCGTCCCCGAGAGAAACACGGGGGGAGATTGCGCAACATCACCTGGGTCATGTCTGCTGTTTATGCTTGAGGGTTCCAACTTTGTATACGCGGGTCGTGTAGTTTTTGGTTCTGCAGCCATTGGACTTTGCAAATAAACGGAGGCCAGATGGGGGAGCCCCAAACAAAAACAACAAAGACATTGTTCATACTTTTGCGGCTCAGCAAAACGAAGTCTCAGTGAAGTCTTAGTGGCTAAAAAATCTCACATATGCCATGGGTCAGTGGATGCCTTTAAAGATAGCAGCCTCGAAGATACGAGGACTTGCCAGGTAGTCCCTAGAACCAAGTTCTTATGCAAACCTATCTACGCGCAGACAGGCATGAACCGGAAGATTTGGAAACGTGCTGCAACTTCAAGATACACCGTGTCTTCTAGGTCTGAAGCCGAACAATGCGTCAGGTTGCGGTTGTCCAATCTTCCGATGTGGCAATCCACTGTTGAAATCCACCGTTCCTGCTAGGAGCATCAGCACTGCTGCTGCTGCAGCAAATATTGCTACTTGTATTCTACTGCCATGACCACAGCCGCATTCCCACTAGCTTTGCTTTACAAGTAATGACCAATAATAAACATGAAAACACAATAACTAACTACCATCATATTGATCCTGCCGCAGGTGCCGCAGCCAGCACTGCCGCCTGCCGGCTGCTGCCGCACCCGCACCACCACCCCCACGACCACTGCCTCTGAAGCCGCCGCCGCCGCCGCCGCTGCCACCGCCACCACCAAATACACTACCACAAACAGCACGACTACTACTACAACTGCTACTACTAGAACAAGAACTACTGCTGCCGCTGCTACTACGACTACTACTACTACTACTACTACTACTACTACTTGTTGTTGTAGAGACACTGCCTCGAATTTTCTCTAGGTCCACTTTCAAAAGAGCCGTGCACAATATACTCAGATAGCCCCCATCTCAAGTCCCTATAAGCTACAAAGGTCCCTACTGAGGGTCCCTCCTGAAACTCCTAAGGCCCTAAACCCTAAACCACGTGGCTTAGACTGTCTCGCTCTGCCGAACCCAAGATCCTAAACATGGGATTCTCCTCGTGTCGGGGCTGGGCGTCGAGCCCCCGTACCTGGGTAGCTGGTCCCGAGGACTCTTGTGGGGACTTTAGGTTGAGGCTTTAGCACACAGTTTAGGGCTTGGGTTTGGGATCTGAATAGGTGCTCTACGAGCCCCCCTGTTTATAGGACTAGGTTTTGGGCCAGGGTACACACTCACACACAGCCTTGCGCAATCGCAGAGGCATGTTCAAATCACATAAGCAGTCTCGGACCCTATCAGGTTCAAAAACGCGTCCAGACAAGTGGTCGCAACGGCCCCCCGCGTTCTCAGTACAATCATGGCACAAACTGTTACAGCCACATGCGAATCAGTCCATTCCCATTTTGTTGAAATCAGCTGCCCTCCATGTGAGCTGCAGGAAATTTCCGCTTGAATTAATTAATGGACATAGGTTCCTATCAAGGAATATCTTAGGGACTGTACCAAGCTACCAAAGAGACTGAGATCCACCCTTTAATTGTCCCTTGGAAATCCTAATATTGACAGAAGCTCATCTAGACCCTATAAACCACACTATAATCACGGTGTCCATTTCATCTTCCATGTTCTTTTCCAGTTGGTTCTTATTTGGATAATGTCATCTGAAGGTAACCAGACTTCTCAGGCCACATATGGGCCAGAATCTCGGGGCTACACCCCACAAGCCTAAACTCTGGAGACGAATGAGGAATCATGTCGTCTGTTGTCCCTTCTTTCAATCCGTCTAAGCGTATGATGACACCCTCCGGTTTCCTGGAACAAAAAGTACCAGCACGGTTCTATCCTCCTATGACTTGAGTGCTTTCCTCTTTACCAGGCGATTTCCATAAATCCTTCGCCCTGAAGCCCAACCCCTAAACCCTACATCTCACTTTGACGAGGCCTGTGCCTGTGGAAAGGGTTCAGGGAGTTGGGAGCCGTGACGCTTCAAGCCGTTGTTTTCCAAACCCCTCTAGGACTGGGTTCGCCCCTAAAACACTTGAACAAATATATTCTTATATGAGGTCCAATATTTAGGTCATTAGGGAAAATTTCAAATGTCCCAGGAGCCTACCCACTGTGAACTCCTCTAACTACAGAGTCTGCCTCCATCTGTGAGAACTCCCCTGAAAAGAGGGTGGAACGCTGCGGCTGCGGGGCCCCCATATTGAAACACCTCCCATCACCCGAAGAGCATATTCAAATACCTCCCATCACGTGAAGAACCCCAGAAACCACGCCAGACAACTACCCTAAACCGTAGCTGGTCTGTGCATTTGGTGGTTGAGCCACGAAAGATTATGTTCTGAGTCTTCTTATAGAGTCTGGAACCGACAAGGAGGATGCACGCTTACTCTGCATTGGGGACTGGAGTATCCCCCTGAAGATGCTACCCAACTGGCCTGAAGCATCACATCAATCTCAGACCCTGATCCACAAGCTACACCCCCAAATGCTGGGCCGTAAGCTAGACGGTGGAGGGCTTTTTTCTTTTTCAAAGGTTTAGCTCCACCTTTTTTCTTTTGGAGGTTTGGCTCAACCCCCCCTCTCGTTTCCTTGTAATTGTCATCATTTTTGGACTCTTAGAT